TATATATATATGCACATGTATATAATTCTTGTTTTAATGACTTTTAAATTTTTGATGATTTTTAGCATTAATAAAATAATTATTATTTCATGAATTTATTGAACAAATAATTGAAAATAAAAATGTTGTTTAGAATAATCTAAACAACAATCGATTTTATATTTATCCTAATTTTGGTTCACATAATATTAAAGGTTACTTTTATCTTTTTTTGCTTATTTATAAAATTCAGATTTTAAGTAAAACAAAAAATAAAAATAATTTTTTTTATTTGATACGGAAACTAATACTTTAAATTTATTATACTTTAAATTTGTTAAATAATATAATTACAGGTTCTACATTTATATTACAAACATTGAATTATACTAGAATTTAAAATTTACATAATGGCTACATTTACATTAGCAAAGGTAGAATTACAAACTGATGTATACATGGTATGCTTGCAGCATGCCTTGTCAACAGAAAAATTTGAAGTAATGGGATTACTAATTGGGGATGTATGTTTTTGAATATATTTATTATTTTATGTAATTTTTTATATGTGTATAAAAAAACATTTATTATTTTATTAATAATTTTTGTTAGACAGAAGATAATGTTGCAAGAATAGTAGCAGTCATTATTTTAAGACATTTGGACAAAAAAAAAGACAGAGTAGAAATTTCAACTGAACAATTATTAAAAGCTGTTGGTGAAGCAGATCGTTTAAGTGAAGAATTAAAACGACCTGTACGTATTCTTGGATGGTATCATTCTCATCCTCATATTACAGTTTGGCCATCACATCTTGGTCAGTATATATATATATTTTTGTAAAAGTAAATTATAATTAAAAATATCATTTTAATCTAAAAAATTTATCTTTAGATATTAGAACTCAAACAAATTATCAGACAATGGATCATGGTTTTGTAGGTTTAATATTTTCAGTATTTTCAGAAAGTAAAGAATCTAAGGTAAACAATAAATAAATAATTCTAATATTATATTTTCAATTTTTTAAATGAAATATTTTATAGGAGCAAGAAATTTCTTTAATTTGTTTTCAATCTCATAATGAAAAATTAACAGAAATTCCGTTAGAAATTGTACATACACCAATAATATCAAATACATGTCTAAAAGTAAGCTTATAGATAATTAGTTAGAATTATCTGTAATTAATTTTCAATTATAATTTCTATGTATTTTTTAGACAATGACAAATTTGTTAAAATTATTGGTGCAAGAAGAAGAAGAAATGGCAGAAACATATAAAGATCAACAAGATATTCTTGCCAGCATACACAATAATGCTGGTTAGTTTATTTATTTTAATATTTGAAAGTTTTATTTAATATAACAAAAATTAATTCAATTATTAATTACAGTGAGAACACGAACATTAGTTCATATAACAGATATAATTACTAAGCCTTTGGTATTAATGTTTAAGAAAAGGATAGCTTTAAATAAATTACGTGCTGCATATCTTCGAAGGCAGCTACAAGAACTACAAAAAATATATAATTGATGAAAATTATGTTATAATTAAAGACAATGTTTCTCTATTTTTTTGCGTGTATAAGTACATTAAGTTGAATTTTTTTTGCATAGTAATTTTTGTTTTCGTATTATTTATTATTATGGAAGATAAAATAATATTCTGCATAAAAACTGTAGTATTATATAAGAAATAAAATTTAATTAATTTTTTTTCGTGTTTCTTCAGTGATGTTTTATTAACCTAAATGAAGGATATACGAATGAAACTTTCAGTGATTATTTTTATTTTACTTTTCACGAACAAAGATCTGGCAATATTTGCACAGTTCTATATTTACACTACGAGAACAACAGTGTATTTAAATAGACTTAAATGTATTCAAAACACGGATTCTGCAGAACGAGAAAGATGTATAGGATGGGAAGGACTACGTGCTAACCTTTTGCGAGGCAACTTTTCTAAACAATTTTGTAATTTTGCAATTGTAGTTAACAATTTTGCAAAATCGGGCCGATTTTCTGCGTGGTATGACCAGCAAAGCATTAAGATGTCCTAGAAATATATAAAAAAATTAATAAAAAAAATTATAATTAATTAAAATTATTTTGTAAAAAATTAAAAAATAAATTTAATTAAAATTTGTAAAATAATTTTTTATTATACTTTGTACCTTTACATCACGAGAAGCTTGTAAATTAGCTAAAGTTTGTTTCATTCCTTTGCCAACTTGCCATATAATTGCTTCAGGAGGTTGTCCTTTAAATGGCCATTCTCCACATAAAAGTTCATACCATACAGTTCTATAATAATTTTTTAATAAGTTTGATTAAAAGATCTCTTAAAATTATATTTTATATTATTTTTTTTACACTAACCCAAACGCATAAACGTCAGAAGCTTCAGTAAAAGGTAATTCTTCCTGATCCCGATTTTGTTGAGGTCTCAATCGTCGAACAATTTCAGGAGCTAAATAACATAACCAGCCAGGTGGTATACTCAATGCATTTCCTTTTCTGTTTATAAATAAAAGCAATATAAAATCATAATTATATTTTATCAAATATAACTAAATATAATAAATATAATATAATAAATAAAATATATTTACCTATTTCCATAACAAAGTTTTGTAACACTAAATAAACCGAAATCCGTAATTACAACTTTTCCGCTTTCTAAAAATATGTTTTTACTTTTGAGATCTTTATGAATTATACCACGAGCATGAAGATATCCCATTCCCTAAAATAAGTCATATTAAAATGTATTAAAATGTCGAAAGTTATATTTTTCATAAAAATATACCTGAGAAATCTGTTGAGCGATGATAGTGGTTTTATTTATATTAAATTTATCTTTACGTAAATGAATATGAGTGTAGAGAGTCATTCCTTTACTCATACTAGTCACTATCGCCAAGCGTGGAGGTTTCATGCAAGCTCCCATGAATAAAACTAGATTTTCGTGTCTAGTTTTTCGGAATGTAGCCACCTATAAATTTAAATATAATTTCAATAATATGAATATAAATTAATTTCAACAATACAATAATTTTAAATTATCTTATGCAATATTTTTCAATATTTATAATTATTGTTATATTATATTATTTATTATTAAAATTATTTATAAAATAAAAATATTTGTATGCAAAATAAATAAATAAATAATTAAACTATTATGTATATTATAAATATACATTTCAAATATATTCAAATTTGAGAGTAACTTATTATATCTTCAAATATGTTATTAATTATATGAAATATTATAATATATATTCATTTATATATACCTCCAATTTGAATGCTTCCAATATTTTGTCATCATCTAAATAATAGTCCATATTTAAGACTTTAATAGCAACATTACCATGCCAGTAACCTCTATACACTGTACCAAATCTTCCAGTACCAATGGGTTCTCCAATTTTTAATTCATCATAAGGAATGTCCCATTCTCGCATAGATAACTATAATATTAAATTAATTTAAATATAATAATAATATTGTAAACATATATTAAAATTACGTACACTATTTTGTCGAGGCCAACGACTATCTCCTGGTTCTCCATCAGAAACTTGAGAATCTTGTGAATCAACTCTAACAGGTGTTCGTTCAGAATCTGTGCTAACACTACCAGATCCTGAAACGCTCACCGTTCTTTCACTATCACTTGACATAGTTGTACCTTCGAGTTGATGAGTCTCTAATGTAACACCTTTCTCATTGAGCACAACATCTAAAAATTTAAAAGTAGAATATTATGAATTTCAATATCATTCATTGTAGTGAAATATATTACAAAAAAATTACCTGGAAAATGGAACTGTTGTTTGGCAGGTGCTTGTAGAGTTTGGCTAGTATTGGCAGGTAGCAAAGCTGGACTAGAAGGCGTTGAGCTGTTGCAGCTCGAGGTATTTGAACTAGAATCCGCGCTCTAAAAAAACAATATAATTAATAATGTACACTTAATTTTTAATGTGAAAAACAAAAAATTAAAATCACAATTAACATACCTGAAAAGGTATATTCATAGAAGAATGTGGATGCGATCGTTTTCGATCCCTTCGATTTAAAGAGCTTAATAAATTTGAATTATGATGATTAGGAGATGTTATACCAGGCTTGCTTAATATTGGAGAAACATTTACCATACCTAAAAAATTTTAATTTTAATATTTTTATAAAAGCAAATTATAAATTGATAAAATTAGATATAAACAATTTTATGTACATACCATCACCTTGTACAGTTCTTTTAAACTCATCAAAGAGTTCTTGAGGTAGGCCACAAGACGGTGGTACTTTGGATTCGCAATCTCGATGACATTTATATTTACATTCTTTGCATTTCAAACCAGTGCCTATAAACATTTGTTTATCGCAATAATCGCATGTTGTCATCATCTTAAACGTTTTGGTAAAACGGTGAGCAATTATATGGCCCATTCCTCGGGTTACAGTCGGAGTACGCGGTGACTTTGGCACTTGGAGACTTGTTACTATTAAAAATTCTGATTAAATTTTTCATATTTATACGAAATAATATAAAATTTTTAAAATAATATATTACATTTACCTGTTCCCTTAAAACTGTTATCATCACTTTCTGCACTAGAATAAGGTGGTGACTTAACAGGACTATTACTATTTAATAAAAGATTTTCCCCTGTAATGTCTGCATTACTACTGCAAGATCCTGTTTCTGTAGGTAAACGATTTCTTCGTCCTACAGAACTGACAGGATCCATATTTCCACAACTATGAAAATAATAAAAAAATATCTAATATTAATATTAATTTTCTATTTAAAAAAATCATTATAATAAAAATTAAATTATTACCTTGAAGCTGTATCTCCATTTTCAAGACGATTTGCTAATTGTGATTCATGAGATTTTGACTTAGTTAAAGGAAACACTTCTGGTTGTGATATTGTATTCTGTAAACCTATTTGATGTTTTTTATAAGGAGGAGGAGTTGTTGGAACTTTAATTCCTGTTTTGAAAAAGTAAAATTTTACATATTATATTAAATATAACTATTTCACATTATAATAATAAATTTATAGGAAAAATAGAAAATATTTCTATATATCATTTACCACGTCCTGGCCTTTGCAAAAGAGGAGTGGAAGGTGGACTAGTTGAAGATAAAGATGTAATGGAAGAAGCTTGTGCTAATATATCACTGTTAAGATTGTTGTTATTATTATGATATGGAATGCTGTCTTCTGAAGGAACAGAACATCTTGTTGTACGGGATCTTGCTGGCCTAGGAGATGCTCCTGTACGTAAATGGTGTCTATCCCAAGAATCCCAATATAAATTCATATCACTG